TAATCTTTGCACCTAAATGTCTAATATTCAAATTTCGCTTTCTGGCCCAAAAAAGTTCTAATTGTCTCCCGCCTTAGAACCATTTCTTCATATTTGAAGCCAGTTACAATTCAAATAAGGCAGTCATTTAAAGAAGATTCCAGTCAAGTTTGAAGAGAAGCAATCTTCGCATGTAAAGTCATTGGATAATAATAGCTATAAAATTATGAATTCATATTCTCATCATACCAGTCGAAATTTATACCTTAATAAAAGCCGATTCAGTTAAGCGTGTTTCCTCTTAACGGAACTTCTCTAAAACTAAAGCGCTATTTCACAGTGGGCAGCCAAAAATTTATTATAAAACACCATATAGAAGCAATAAAGATGTTCTACGTAGTCGGGAATTAAAAATACTAAATTAAAATTAAAAACGCACAGTTCGTAAGGCACTACCCTATAAATTACTTATGCTAATTCGGTCGATTGTTAGAGTTTAAAGTTTACAATCTGATTAAGCAGGGGAACTTGGAGAAAGTCAATGGACTCTATGCGATCATCTTAAAGAAATTTGCATCTTGTATTTGGGCAAGTATTGAAAACGTAGGCCGCAAATTAAATACGAAAGGAGCGGTAAAAGTCTACAATTTAGAATATCTTCAATTTTTGACAAATTCCGCTCTTTCCAGAAAAAGCAAACTCTTGAAAATTTGATAAAATTGGTTTTATCTGAGAAAAGTCCAGTTTTTGTCTATATCAACAAATACATGTGTAAGTTTCAACCGATTTCAGTAGAAATCGCGCTGCGTTCCCCTAGAGTTAAAATTGAAGAATAATCCTGTATAATTAAGAATTAATTAGAAAGCGGTCGGTTTCTTCCGCGGAAACAAATAATAGGTCCGCACGGAGTCCGCTCAAATAGGCCTCAACAAGAAGAACTACCGCATTTGGACAATAGTGATTTTGCAGATAAAACTAGCGAGAAAATTAAAGGATTTGCATTTTCGCCGTCGAGCTGCTAAGGAAAACCGACTAATGGACTATTTTTTGCGTTATTTCAGCCAAAGTCGAAGCATCGACTTTCGATCAATTTTTTTATGTTTGCTTCATGAATATCGCCACAGATTGCATATCTCGCTTAAATATGCATAATATTTCGCATGTGGAACAGTCATTACAACCGACCATAAATTCTGAACTAAATCCGCAATTTTAACTTAAACTGTAAAGGGCACTTGAGCTTTTATTGCTGCTTATAAAGATGTAGCTAAATAAAAAAGTTTATTATGCATAGAACATAAAAGTTCCATGATTTAAGCGACTGTTATCACTTTGGCCGTAAATGCCAGTTGTTCACAATGTTCATGCGATAGAGTTATTATTCAAATTGAAGAAGCCATTGCGAGCTGTGTGAAGTTATTACGATATCGGCGTTGATTTCAGCGCCAGCCTTAACTTAAGGCACAATTACCATAAAAGTTTAATAAATAAGAACAATCGCTTCATATAAATGGGAAATCTTATTTAGTTGTCTAACCAATAAAGCTGATTTATTGTCTGACGTCTAACAACGTAATTATTTTAGCTGTTGCTGAAGACTTCCGGTTAATAAATATGATTTTTGATGGATTCTCAACAGGAAATCTTCACAATATTCCAATATATTCATGGGAACTACGATAATTGCCATTGATCGCCCATTGTGTGTAATTCATATTTTTTGTTAATTACAGTTTGATTCCGAAAATCCGGAATATTGTCTCAAACGTTCGGGAAAATTTATCGCTTTAAGCAGGTTGCGTTTAGGTTGAAATATGGGCGATAATTTTCAGGTAGATCGCAGCCGAAGATTTATGGAGCAGAAGACACCCGACAAGAGTTTAACTGGGCTTCTCCAATGCACAGCGATAAGAAGAGAATGTTTTACCATGGGAAAGGTCGTGATATCTTAATGTGCTGAGCTGACAAAAATCGGCGCTTGTTACTACTCAAACGTCGCTTATTCTATTTTACTCAAGGAACAACTCCAGAGGAATAAACATCAGGGCCTTTAGCGGGTGTTGGGTGAGATATGGGGCTCGACAATGAACACTGCACTATTAAATACGGTTATAAAATAAAAGGTAGCAAAAATGTTATCAGATTTTCGTGCTGAGAGCGCTATTCGCGATCCTTTGTGTTTCGCTGTGTATTGATTTATCCCCCATGGAAGATGGTAAAACCTTTCTCACGTCGTATAATAAACGGGGCATTTAAGAATTCGCCTCGGCTGGTTTCCCACCCGTAGACAATGGAAATTACTCTTATTTTTCATCATCACCGAGCAGGAAGAGTGGAAGACAAACGCCCAAGAAAAAACCGATTATCCAAAAATCCTGCTGCAGCTAGTCGAAGCCCAAAAAATCTATATATACCTATTGAAAAGCTGCAGTTTTTCTTGGTAAAACCCTCCCAATGGACGTATCTTGATTACGGGATGGCGAAAAGAGAAACAATAGCCGAGCACTCGGTTTGCAAAAACCAGATAGTGGTACCTGTCCGGAGACTGTAAGTTTAACAGCCTGATCGTGATATAAATTAATACCTGCTGCATTTATTTAGCAGGGTTACAGTTCACGCAACTAACGATAAATATCTACCAATTAGCGGTTTATTGGCTTGCCTGTTGGTTAAATTATAAAGTAAACAAAAAGCCCGAAGAATGTGATGCACCGACAACGGTTCCAAAGTTTTAATTGATTGTGGCACACGAAACTATTATAGAATCCAAGCCATTGTGCTTGAAATTAACTTTAGGCTGGGAAAAATTGAATCTTCCGAATGGTGAGACGCAAATTCATTATTTGATCATGGGGAATTAATAACGGCACCTAAAGTTTGATGGATTATGAACGGGAACTTTTGAATAGTTTGAAAAACTTTCATAAAGTTTTCAATGGAAAATATAAATTCCATAACAGGGTTCCTTTGCGCTCATTGGATTGTTTGCTACCTAAAAAGATTAAATTGACCTAAATTGTCGGTTAAAAATCCTGACCGTTCAAAAACGACTCAAAAATAACATAAAATGTTGATTATTTCGGAACTGAAAAGTCTAGCGTGATTCTTAAGAATCTCTTTGCAATCCTCTCCTTTTTTTCGGTAAAAATGATGAAAATATCAAGAAATTTGGAGATATTTGATATTTTCCGAAAAATTCAATCCCTTATGAATTTTTCGATCAACAATCAAAATTTTACTACCGTATTTTTTGCGCTCATTAGATTGATTGCGACCAAAGAAGCTTCGTAATATGCAAATAGAAATTTTTTGGGACCACGATAAGGAGAAAATCATCGGTTGAAGATCGTGACCGCTCAAAAACGACTCAAATGATCGGAAAATGTTGATTATTTCCGATCAAAACAGTGTAGTGTGTCTTTTAAGGATCTTTTAGCATTCCTGGCATCGTTCCCTTGAAAATGATATACAATTTGAGAAATTTGGAGAGATTTAATATTTTACGAAAAAATCAACTCTCCCGCCTTATGAATTTTTCGATCAAAAATCAAAACTTTACTATCGTGTTTTCTGCGCTCATTGGATTATTTGCGATCTAAGAAGCTTTCTAACATGCAAATAGGAAGTTTTTGGGACTAAAATCAGGAAAAAATTATCGGTTGAAGATCGGGCCGTTCAAAAACGACTCAAATGAACAGAAAATGTTGATTATTTCCGATCTGAACAGTGTAGTGTGTCTTTTAAGGATCTTTTAGCATCTTGATGAAAAT